TACAGGGACTATCCGATAATTATTGTTTCCTATCTATATTAATTCCTTATTGAAGTAAAATTTACACCCTTATAATAACTGATCCTTCAAATGGGCCATTTTTATATATCAACTTTAGGAAGTGATGACTGCCATATTAATTTAATACTACGTAGGTTTTTTAATTACTTGTTAGAACAATATAAATACCCCCATTCTTTCAGTATTTCTGGCTAGAAAGCAAAACATAAAAGCAGTCAAAATTTATCTTAGGAAGTCGTAATTCAAGAGTCGCGTATTTGAAGCTACATGATAAAGACCAAGAAAATCTTCGTAGCACTAAGGCATCATGTTTATTTGGCTGATCACAACAAAACGACTGTCAAAAACGGGTTGACCCAAGTGTCCAGATTAGCCGTTTGATATCTGGATTTAGCAGGGTGTGCTGATCTTTCTTGTTTGGCCAAATCTAAAAAACCCTATTAATATTATTGTCAGATCGACAAAGTTGTTAATACACACGATATTTAGAATCTAGTTTTTTTCTTGAAAGGTGAGATTTGTTATGTTTAATCAAATACATTTGTACATGAAATTCTTTACTTTTTGTCTTGTTTGTCTGTAATCAATGTTTCCTCGGTATTGTTATAAGTTAAGTAAAGTAAAAGTTGGAGGTAGAGATCAGTTCGACGGTTACCTGTGTCGTTGCACTTACACCCCCCCCCCCCCCCCCCCCCCCACACACACAAACTCTTAAATGGATTTTAAAAAATAAGCTAAAAAGACACTAGCGAAGCAATAGCAGAGGCAAACCCAAAGAAGCAACAGAAAAAAGGAAAATAAAGGAGCCCTTATCTTGACACTTGACAGCAATAAAACAACAACAACAACAAAATAAAAAAAATAACAACAAACAAACAAACAAAAAACACCAACAAACATACGAAAGAAAACAACCAACAACAACAATAAAATCAAACAAAAGCAAAAAATATTCTTTTCCTTTTCTTGCTGTTCTCTTTTTTTGCTCCCATGCGAAGTGCGTATGACAGTGATGTATAT